CCCGCCGGCATTTTGGTAAGCCACGCTTGGGTGTATGGAAGGATAAAGCGATGGTGCTGGCACGTGCCTGGGATGAATCTTAGCGGTGTAGTGGGGGCGCTTCGCGTTGACCAAACCGAGCTCTGTGGACGTTTGGGGTTTTGTTTGACTTCTGCTGTGGTTTCCACTCCGTAGGAAGTGAGAGCAGCGGTACATCTGTTAGAAAGGGTTGTGACCCACCACCCCCACAGATGACGCCAGTGCCTGCATCATACCTGCTCGTGGAAGGGCTGCAGCAACTGCTTGCCGTTTTCCAGGAGAGTTTGTGTTACACTTCTAGGAGCTATTCCACCCCTGCAGAACGACAATTGATGGTAACAAATGGTGAGCTAAACATAGGATAGTAGGGCGCTCTTTCACAATAACGAAATAATGCACCTTCTTTTGGTATAGCTGTAACGGATGTGATTCCTCTCTAGTGAGAGCATGTGGCACTGCTAAGAGTGAAAGCCATTTGAAGAGTACCATTCTTCAGGAATATGGGGGCCGCATTTTTAAAAGTGTGTTTGAGGATGAGACATTAGCTGTATGGTCGGGTACCAAGTCCTTTATTCGATTTTTTTTTTTTTTTGGTAACCTGATGCCACATATAGGTGACTCAGAGGTCGTGGGAGTCATGGGTTGGCCGTTCGGCCCATTATGACCAATGGATTTTTCTCTCTGCGCTGGAAAGTGACTTGCATAGCGACGAAGGCAGTACAACTCCTTCGTGCCAAACGCACGTGGGGAGCAATGCCGCCCGCAGAGTTTCTCTCAAGAGAGTAAGACACAATAAACGGGGGTGCCAAGGGTACAAACTATTAAAAGGGAATGGTACTGTGTACTAAGCAAGGCGTTGGCGTCCACACTCACGGGTAATACGCTTAAAAATAAGGCGAATATGCTAAAGTACTGTGTATGCATCACTGCAATCATAAATGCGATAATGAAGATTGACGGATAAGAGTCTGCCCAGCCTCTCTGGGAAAACGAGGAGGCTATGGAAGCCATTGCAACAAGATGTAAATAGTGTAGGGTTGCCCACTCTGCACATAACACCTTTAGAGGAGAGGGGGCTTCAGGCATTTAGGGATTTTTTCTATATGAGGTGCTATAGTCCTATGTATCAGTTTAAATTACTCATGGTTTCTTTGATAAGAGATTTGCCACATTGTGCTGCTGCTGCCACATCCCTCTCGCTCTCTGTGTGTGCCACCAGCTGTTCGCCTCTCCTGCCTCACGTGTAGACACAAGTGTTCCCAGACCATTCTGAGTATGTTGCCGCACCACGTGCTTTGTGTGATTGCCGCTGCGCTGTGCTGCTGCACCTCTCTGTGCGTGGCTGCTGCTCCTATAACAAGCGGTGGTAAAGTGGTTACCAAAACTGCTTATCTGAAGGGGCTACCAGGGCTGATGTGCACAGACGGTTTGCTGTGGGTCATGGAATCAAGTGGTGGGAAGCAGCGTGCCGCCGTATCTGTTACTCCCGCTTCCAGCGTTGTGCTGAACACGAACAAGCAGGAAGCTCTGAAGGCCTTCGAAGGTTGCAAGAATGCGGCAAAGGAGCCTCTTACGAATCTATTGAACTCACTGGAGCTGGTGGCGTGCATAGCTTCGAAGGAGGCTGAGAAGTCCCGCAAGGTGGCAGAGCAGACCGAGATGGTTTCGAAGGACATGAAAGCAGTCCGTGAGACAATGGAAACGAAATCATCAGAGGGTGACAAACTTGGGTTGGTAAAAGTAATACGGGAAGCGAGTGCGGAAGCTGAAATTGCCGCAGCTTGGGCGAAGGATGCTGCTTCCCAAGCGGAGATTGAGGCAAACTTCACTGCGTGCATGAGGGACTACGTGAGGGAGGAAGAAAGCAAGAACCCACCAGTACCTACCGCTCCATCAAAAGTCTCGTCTCAAGAGGTCATTGACACTGTTCTACTCTCACTGAAGATGACCAGAGAGGAAGTGAAAACAACTGAGAAGGATAAATTAATCGCGATGACGGCAAAACAAAAGGCCATGGAGGCGTTCAAGCAGCTCCCCGATCACGCAGAACTCCTCAAAAAGCTTCCTGCAGGGACACGACTGGAAGGCGAGACAGAGCCATTGTCAGCCGGTGGCCCTCGTGGTGACGGCCAACTGGAGACGGTTGAGCGTGCAACTTCAACAGATCGAAGCACCGACAGCGAAGACTCTTTGCATCCGCGTCCCGATCTTGAGAAAGTGGACCGGGCCGCGGTGAATTATACCGGCAGCAGTTCTCCTGAATCGGAGAAGACCAAAGATGTTTCAACCAACACTGCAACTCCTGCGCCCACACAGCCACCCGCAGCGCCTGGAACAGAGGGCATGAATTCCGAAACTAAAGATCACACTTTGTCCGAAACGAGAATGACGACAGAAGCGAAGGATATCGACGCTGCTGCCAACAACGAAAGATCTGAAGGAGACGACACCGCAGTATCCGCCATTCCAAACGCTCAAACGGAAGAACTTCCATCTGTCGTACAAGCAAAGGTTCGCGGCTCTGTGTTTGTATCCCAAGGCCTGATTGACGGTCAGTTTGACAGCAGCAGCATTCCTGCGGCGGATTATGCCCGACAGCTGCTGCTGCTGCTTCTCGGAGGTATTGCGCTTCTGGTCGTGTGCTGATGTGTGTGTGTGTGTGTGTGTGTGTGTGCACCAGGCGGTAGTATCCTTTTAATTGCGTGCGGCCCTGGAGGCTGAGTACATATTAATGCTTTTCATCTCATTTCATTTCATTTCATTGCTGCCCCGTTGTGGGCTGGGCGCTGTTTAATTCACCCGTGACTGTACTTACTTGTGCTGTGGGAATGTTGTCCGGGAGGCGTCTGCTTGTTTTTTCTGCTTTGGGTGTGTTGGGGCTTTGTTTTCTGCTGGGCATTGTGTGCGGCCTGCCCTCTAACTGATGTCACTTGTTTGAAGGATCCTGCTCCTGAGTGTATTGCAACCGTGTGGTGCACTGTGACACTCACTCTGTGTTTTTGCTCTTTGGTTTTTTGTGGGCGTATGCCTGTGTCCCCTCTCTGTGGGGGTGGGCACTGACGGCTCCTGCCACAAGAGGAATAAGAGTGATGGTGAGGGTGTCAGCGTCGCTGCGGGGTTGTGCCTGCTGCTGACCCGCCTGCGGGGTTAGTGGCCACCAGCGAAGGGGATTGATACTGTGCGGTGGACGGGGGCGTGTGGCCTGGCGAGGCGCTGGGGTGTGTGTGTGTGCGTGTGTGTGTGCCTGCCCAGCGGGTCAGTCCGGGTGTGTGGGGCGTGGGGGCGGCGGTGCCCGACGCGGCGCAGTGTGTGGCCAACGGGGCGGTAGTGGCGCCTGTGGGGAATCACGGCTGCGAGTGGGCTTCTGCTCACGGCGGCTGTTGGCCCTGACGGGGGGGAGACTGCAGTGCGGGGCGTCGGGCTATTTGCCCACGGCATTGCGTGGGATCTCTTTGGTATTTCTGGTGTAGTTGTTTCTTGCTGGCCTCCTTCACCCGCAGCCTCGCTGCATTGCGCTGCGTTCCCTCCCTCGTCCTCCACGCAGTCTCTGCGACCTGTTTCCAGACAAGCTAAGACTTCACTCAAGCACGCCAAAACCATGTCACGCCATGCTCCCCACGCTGTGGCCCTGCTGATGCTGCTGTGCTGCGCCAGCGGGTGCCTTGCCGCCGTCACGCATCACTGCGAGTTTGACAGGATTATGAGTGCGAGGGCTTCGCAGCCGATTGCAGTGGTGAAGGAGTTGCCGCAGCCGCAAAGAAATGCACAAAAGGGGTACATCGTCACTGACAACAACTGGAACTCCATCCGCATCGTGATGTCCATGAAGGATCTTGAGGATGCGACCAAACACTGCGTTGATGAAGGAACTTCGCGCCCTACTTTTCAGGGCCACAACGCGGATTGCCAGAGCTACGATGTCGTTACCCTCAGGACGATGACGGAGCTCACCAAGACGGTCATCCCAGCGGCCATCAAGCTGCATGCGGATCGCCTCCAAGTCCAGCGTGTGGCGCATGCGATGAAGATGCCCAAGTTCACGCAGAGCGTGTGCCGCTTCTTCACGGTACCCGAAGAGCACCACAGTGAAGGCGTGCCGTATGCCGACATGGTGCTCTATGTTGCTGCTGGGCCTGGGCTGACCTTTGGGGCTCCGTGCGCCACGTTGGGGGTGAACGGCCGCCCCATCGCCGGTGCCATGAACTTCCGCCTCTCTGACATGCACCACCCGCAAGTTGCCGCTCGCCTCGCCGCGCACCAGATCGCACACGCACTTGGATTCAGCTACGGGCAGATGGATGCCCTCAGTATGGTAAGCAGTGGGATATCTGTGCGCGGAAAGACCCACAACGTGGCGATGGTGACATCCAACCACACGAAGACGATGGCCCAGAAGCACTACGACTGTGTCACTGCGAAGGGCATGGAGCTGGAGGACGAGAGTTATGGCGCGTATAAGTCCCACTCACACTGGGAGCGGCGCAACGCGAAGGACGAGCTGATGGCCCCGATTGTCGGTGCCGGTTACTACACTGCACTGACGATGTCTGTGTTTGAGGACATGGGCTTCTTCCGGGCCAATTGGGGGATGGAGGAGCCGATGAGCTGGGGCAGTGGGGCCGGCTGCTACTTTCTCACTCATAAATGCGTGGAGGGCGGTGCCACCAAGTACCCCAACATGTTCTGCACCGAGACCACCAATGCCAATGCGTGGTCCTGCACATCGGACCGAACCTCCATGGGTTGGTGCGGAACGACCAAGGAGGTAGCTGCTCTTCCCGGACACTACCAGTACTTCGAGGATAAGAAGACTGGCGGTTTGAGCTTGGCGCTGACGGACCACTGCCCTGTTGTGACGCTCCTGCCCTTCGGTGGATGCAGCGATGGTGATTCCCACCAGGCGATCGGGGGCCGCATTAGCCAGAGTTCGTGGTGCCTTGATGTGGAGGGTCTGCAGGTGTACAGTGACGGGGCTTTGTCGGAAAGCCAAAAGACTTCTGTTGGCGGCGTGTGTGCGGAGGTGCTGTGCATCGACAGCAAGGTGCGGGTGCGGTACCTCGGCGACGAGGACTGGCACGAGTGCCCGGAGGGCGAATCCCTCACGCCCTCCACAACATCGCCGGGTGTTTTCGCCAGCGGCAAAATCAAGTGCCCCATGTACGCCGAGGTGTGCACCATCGCTCCAAGCGGCAGGAGCCTTGTTAACCCAAATGCTGCACTGCAGTCTCGCTCACTGAAGTCGACTGACAAAACTGTTGCCTCTGCAGGCAGCATGTCGGCGAAGGACGTACGATAAGCCCAATCTGATGAGACTGTCAGGGACCAAGGGGTCCGGTGCGAGTGCAGTTGTGTGAGAGAGAGTCGTTTTTAAAACAGTTCAGCCCACGAGTGGCAATATTTTTCGGATAACGGTGCGCCATGTTTGCCCTCGTTTGGGCTTGCGCTTGGGAAATGGCGCGCTGCTTGGCTGGAAAGTAAAGTCGCATGGGCGGTGATAAATACGCGAAATGCAGATGATGTCCTTCTTTGCTGGGTGCCGGCACTACGTATCACCCTTCCCAAGAGATGGTGCGGCCACCGACCATCGTAAATATTTTTCTTGTTGTGTTCGTCGGAAGTACGATACGTTGTTGTCGCCGTAATATTGCTTTACCTCGCTTGGGCTTTGCGTGAGATACGCTCTTTTGTTTTGTTTTTGTTATCAGCCTGTTCACGGCTTGCGGCTGCTTGAAGGAGTAGCGCGGGGACAAGCACTTTTTTCTTGGGTCTGGGAGTTGCGAGGCGGCGGGTGCAGACCGTGAGAATTTGTGAAGAAAGAAGCCACTCGCATTGCGGGGTGCTGGAGCAGTCAGAAAACCAGAAGGTAAAGGAAAACGGAAAAAAAAAAGCGGAAATGCATACAAGGAAAATTTATTATTGCTTGAGTTCTACGCAGTAGACAAGATTCTCTTTTTTTTTCGGGGTTTAAACGAGTATCACGAACTACATGCGGCAAATCATATAAACGAAACAAATTGTGTCTTCTTTGCTTTGGCCTCACGCAGGATGGGGCTCTCTAATGGTGGAAGGGGCGGCGCGGCTGTGGCTGAGTGGCCGGTGGCCTGTCTCTGTTGTGGATGCCCCGCTGTGCCTGTG